GATACATGTCGGTGATGAGTTATGCCTTTTCAAATTAAACCAAGTTTTAGCAACGTGGAATATGTTGCTGATTGAGGGGGAAATCCTTTAGCAACATGATATATGATGCTAAAGGCATTATATATACCCTTACTCCAACAGAGCTTACCAATGCTTTCATATTTCTCCTCCCATTCTCTCCTGTATGCTCTCTACACGCCTCCTCCATTTCTTAGCCTTTTATTTTTTTTGCCAATTTTTCACAAATCACCCACATTTCACTCATTTTTTATCCATTAATGATGTATCAAGTATCATTTATTTATTATCTTCTATCAAAAAAAATTTCAAACATATATTAGTAATTAAATTAATTTTCATCAACTTCTTCATTCTCTTGAGGTATATATTGTGATTTTATTGTTTTCAATATTTTTATAAACTTTACGTGATTAAACAGGTTTCAATTTATTTAAGAGTTAATAAAACTATATTAACTTATGTATAATAATTATTAATTTTGGTATTTTGTTTCTTTTGTAGGTAAAAGACATTACCAACCAAAATTCAAGTTTGGTAAGGTCCCTCAACCGATATTAATTACCTTTAGATGTTTATTTTAAATGTATTTAATTAGATAAAACTTTAGATATAGTAGGTTAAAATTAATATTAATTATTTAGTTATAATTTCTTTTGTATATTTTGTTATATTATGAGTAAGATATAATGAAATTTATTATTTAGTAATTATAATTATAAAAAGTGAATTTTATAATTAAAGAATACATTATTGTTAAATTCTATAATGATAGGCTAAAAAAATGTAATTAAATTTTTTTAAATATTAATGTAATTGAAAATTTTGTATTCATAATATTGATAAAAAAATTTATGAATTTATATTTGTTTTCAAAGTAAAACACTTTTTAGCAACATAACACTTGTCGATAAAACAATTGAAAATTGGGATTTTTGAGCATCACCGACGTGGAACATTTTGCTAATTGGCAAGAGGCATGCATGCTTGTATTATGTACAAGATAATCAGCAACAAGGAACATGATGCTAAAAGGCTAGGAGATAATCAGCTACAAGGAACTTGTTGAAAGTAGGATTCTCACTATTCACAGAATAATCAACAAGGGACTTGTTGCTAAAAGTGGAGTGGTTTACTATTTGTTAGACTACTATTCATAAGAGCATCAATAACAAGGAACTTGTTGCTGAAAATGGGGTGTCCTTATTACTATTTATGAGATTATCAGCAACAAATCCCTTGTTGTTAAAAATAGAGTGCTACAGTGCACATGAAAGTATCAGCAACAAGGGATATGTTGCTAAAAAGGGTGCCACATTTCCAGTAGCTAACTCCGATGAGTATTTTTAGCAACACGAGCCATGTCGATGAAGCCATACTTTCAGCAACAAGGAGTATGTTACTAAAAAGGGTGCAAAATTTCGATGATTGGCTCCAGTGACTTTTTAGCAACATGAGCCACGTCGGTGAAACTCCATTTTCAGCATCAAAGGGTATGTTGCTAAAAAAAGTACCATGAATTAGCAACAAGCTTCACATTACTGATGTATTACCCACCAAGGCTTCTCCAACAAAGACATCAGCAACAAGAATCATGTTGCTGAAGTACTTTAAGCAAATCACTTTCATTGACGGGCTCCCATGTTGCTGAAAAATAGATTTTTAGTAGTGTTTCACTTTTTGAGAAACTGTACTCTTTATCATATATTGCTTCAACTTTTCTTTTTGACAATTCTCCTTTGTAGCAAAAACCACAATAATTGATATGTTTTAATAGTTTGCACGGTCTATTGTAGATTGCTTTGCTAGCTAGGACTACTTTTTTTTGCTTTTGATTTAACTTTACTATTATTTTTTGTTAAAATTAATAGAAGTTTTGTATAGTAGACTATTCCAAAATATTTTAGAATTAAAAAAAAAAAAAAAAAACCTAACATTCTAGACTAAAGTGAAATTAGACTAATAGTTAATAGACCAATTATTGAATTAAGTTGTTTCACTTCTTGTTACAACGCTTCGGTGGCATTTTTCATGCTTAAAGATTAACCCTTTAAACATGAAAAAATCTAGCTAGTAGCCAATGACATATATATATATATATAGCGATAACATAATGGACAATGCCTAGGAAAATTAAAAACTATAGGTTTTAATGGCTAAGTTAGCAAATCTTGTGAGGTATATTGAACTAAAGACTGTACCAATTATTTTCCTTCCATAATACATACCACGTAGCTTTACACACACAAATCCCATATTTCTGTGTTACTTAAGCACACACCCTCTGCATGTGTTTCACGAAGAGAATAAAAGTTACATTTCATAACAAAGAAGTAGGAGGATGAAAAGAAAGTTCCCAAAAATTAGCTACTTGAAGCAAAGAATGAGAATATGTAACCACTTTGAATCATATATAGGGCTATTTTTTTTTTTTTTTTTGAACTAATATATAGGACAACTTTTGGAATAAAAAAATGATTGGTATACACCCAATTTAACATTTTTTTTTATATTTGTTTTAGTTTAGTGATTAAAATATAATATAAATACGTCAATTTAATTGATTCTTGCATTATATATATATGATTATATCTTTAAATTTATCTTTTTTAATTTCTTACCAAAAAATAATAACTTTTTATAAGTTTGTCTGCATTTAATTTCATATCAAAAAATAATAATTTTAATAAATATGTTATATAGTGTATTAAATCAGAGTGTCGGTCAATTACTATCCTTTGAAATATTATTATTATTAAAAAATAAAAAATCAAGATATTCTTGTATTAAAAATATCAGTAACATGATCAATGGATGAGATATAACTGGAACCCACATTATATCTCACATATTTTATAATTGTAATTGGGTACCATGACATCCTAATTTTTCATTTTCTCTATTATTATTATTTTTTATCATTCGAGATTAATTGGAATTTCTATTAGCTTGTAATGCACACACAAACTGAAAGAATATTGATTGATTCACACTCTAGTTAAACAAATTATACAACAAAATTATTAAAAAATATTGTTTTCTAGTCTAAAATTAAAAAAGACAAATTTTAATATATAGTCATACATATAGTATATGCAGGAACTAATAGAATCAAGTTGTACTTATATTATATTTTAACAATTAAATCAAATTAATGTCAAAAAACATGTTAAACCAAATATATACCAATTATTTTCCAAACTAAAATTAGGTTATGAAATTACTAAAACAACTTTAATCAATCACGACAAGGGAAGATTCATTAAATATGTGCTTTTATAACTAGAACAACATTAATTTTTTGGGTGTATGTATAATTGTCCTAATTTTTTACAATAGTTGTATAGTTTGGACTGAAAATGATATTTCTTTATTAATAGTAGTATTAATAAGGTTTTTACTCTCCTTTTTTCATATGGAAAACATTGGGGTGATAGAATTATCAAAAAGTATTGTGTAAGGTGTAATTTGCATAACACTTACGTTAAAATAGGGATGAGCCATTTGATATTAAGGGTTGCCCCTCATCTAACAACCCTTCTTTTACTGGCATAGGAAACTCTAAAATTATATTCTCCACTTTAACTTCATGCAATTTTACAATGGGAAAGTCTAAAGCTCCCTTCCGACTCTGTAGAGTGAGAATACGGAACTATAACTTTACGTGCATCATAAGTATGGTTTAATTAACTCCATGCACATAGTGTTTACTATCTTTTGACTTGATTGTCTATATATATTCAACATCGATCATCACTCATTCCCAAAAACACAAAGAAAAGTGAAAAAGCTTGTCCAAACTGTATATTAAACAATATTGCCAAGGACATGGATGCACCATCAGCAATGTTTGGAAGGTAAGTCCAACAAATTGTATTATAATAAATATCAATTATGATCACTATTGTAATTCATGCATTGACGTTGCTTGGCATATACATGTGTATAAACAGTGGGATGGCAGCAGCAGCAGCAGCACCATCACCACCACCACCACGATCAATTGTAAGCGCATTTTCAACTCTCTTGAGGAATACATGGAATGCATGGGATGCGAGGGCGATGGTTCTTCTGAGCCTAGTCTTACAAATCTATCTCTTTGTCTTTGGCAACCGCAGAAAGCGCATTGTTAGCAATAATATTAGCAGAATGATTCTCTGTTTTGCCTACCAAACCAAAGATTGGGTCGCCATTGCCGCTCTTGGAAAGCTTTCAAATTCTGATGCAGAATCTCCCACCTCCAATGTTCTAAGAGCCCTATGGGCTCCCTTACTTATACTTCATCTCGGTGGTCCTGACACCATCACTGCCTATTCTTTTCAAGATACCCAACTCTGGAACAGACATCTCCTCACCTTAGTTGCCCAATTCTTTCTTGCCCTTTATGTCATTTATTTGTTATGGACCCAATTTTGGCTTTTCCCTTTTGACACTTCCTCTCAGTATGGCTGGAATCATCAAATATGTAGAGAGGATTTGGTGTCTTAAGGACGCTTTCACTAAGAAAATTCGGAGGATCATCCCCGTTTTTAATGATTTTGACCATCACCCATTTGTAGAAAAACAGGAATCAAAAATAGTCCTCCTAGGCTATGCATTGTTTTCAGCTATTAGACCAGATGTCAATGATTTCCAATGCCATAGGGAGTTTCAGCCGTCCTTTAAAGAGAAGATGCAAGCCTATCTAAGAGAGGCTGCAAAAGGTGGTTCCAGCAATCAAGTCAAGTCAACTTTGCAAGACTACTTGGCTAAAGTTAAAAGCGACAAGCAAAGTAGTAGTTATTTTACTCATTTCAACGTAGCTGTTGCAGAACTG